TTACCTAGAAAAATGAGGCAGGCTTCTGTGTATTTAACTTTTTGGTTGCTATGATTTCAGCTCTAAGTGTTGAGTGTTATGATAAAAGCTTTAGAATAGAGAAAAATATATACATGAAAATGTATTATAAATTTGTCATATTGATGAACTGACATGCTGGCAATCAAAAGATGCAAAACACTTTAAAGGAAGTGAATTACAAAATAATGGAGGTCTTTTCATTTCTCCTCTTTTAGGGCACATGAAATGAATTAATACAACGAGTTAATATGTGTTATATACATAGAACAATACCCGATACATATAAGTGATTATTAATTAAACAAAATATATAACTGATATTTTGAACTTCTGGTTTTAAAACCTGTGCTCTTCACATTGCCCCAGTATACTGCCTCAAAAAGTAATCTAGGACCAATGTAGTTCACATATTTTTGTATGTTTGTGGCCATTATCAGTTCTGTTTTAAGAAGGAAGTGTTGTCTAGAAAGTGTTTCATCCTTCTTTCTTTATGCACTGCCAATGGATTAAATAAGAAATCACAAGTGGCCCTGACCGGTTTGGCTCAGTGGATAGAGCGTCGGCCTGCGGACTGAAGGGTCCCGGGTTCGATTCCAGTCAAGGGCATGTACCTTGATTGCAGGCACATCCCCAGTAGGGAGTGTGCAGGAGGCAGCTGATCGATGTTTCTCTCTCATCGATGTTTCTAACTCTCTATCCCTCTCCCTTCCTCTCTGTAAAAAATCAGTAAACTATATATATAAAAAAAGAAATCACAAGTGAAATTAATAAATACTAGAGATAAATGAAAACAAGACCAGAACCTACCAAAAGTTATGGGATACAGTGGAAGCATTGCTCAGGATAAATTTGTAGCTATTAATGCTTTAAAAATGTGAAAGATCGCAAACAAACAACCTAACTTTACAACTTAGAAAACCATAAAAAGAAGTACAAAGTAAACCCCAAGCTGCTAGGAGGAAGGAAATAATAAAGATTAGATCAGAGATAAATGAAAACAAGACCAGAACCTACCAAAAGTTATGGGATACAGTGGAAGCATTGCTCAGGATAAATTTGTAGCTATTAATGCTTTAAAAATGTGAAAGATCTCAAAAAAACAACCTAACTTTACAACTTAGAAAACTATAAAAAGAAGAGCAAAGTAAACCCCAAGCTTCGAGGAGGAAGGAAATAATAAAGATTAGATCAGAGATAAATTACATCGTGAATAAAAAGAGTTTGTTTTTAAAAAGACCAGCAAAATTGACAAATGTTTAGTTGGACTAGGAAAAAATAAAGAAGATTCAGATTACTAAAATCAGAAATGAAAGTGGAGATAACACTGCTGATTCTGTAGAAATAAAGAGGCGTATAATACAGTATGATGAACAATTGTATGCCCCCCAAATTGGACAACCTTGATGAGATGGACAAATTTCAAGAAATAACTTACCAGTGCAGCCACTGTGGAAAACAGTATGGAGTCTCATCAAAAAACTAAAATGGAACTGCCCTATGATCTAGCAATTCCACTTTTGGGAATATAGTGAAAGAAACCCGAAACACTGATTCAAAAGAATATATTCACCTCTGTGTTTATTGCAGTGCTATTATTAATAGCCAAAATTTGGAAGCAGGCCGAGTGCCCATCAGTAGGTGAGTGGATAAAAAAGTTGTGGTACATTTACACAATGGAATACTACTTGGCCATAAAAAAAGAAGGAACCTTACCCTTTGTGATAGCATGGATGGACTGGAAGAATATTATGCTAAGTGAAATAAGGCAGTCAGAGAAAGACAAATACCATATGATTTCACTTATATGTGGAATCTAATGAACGAGACAAACAAAATAGAAACAGACTCATAGATACAGAGAAGAGACTGAAAGCTGTCTGTCAGAGGGGAGGGGTTGAGGGGCTGAGTGAGATAGGTGAAGGGATTAAGCAAAAACAAAACAAAACAAAACAAAACCCCACACACAAAAAACCAAACTCAGACCCAAACAACAGTATGGTGATTACCAAAGGGAAAGGGTGGTGGTGGAGGTAGAAGAGAGTAAAGGGGGGATAAATGGCTATGGAAGGGGAAGACTCTGGGTGGTGAACACACAATAAAAATAAATGATGTATTGACCAATATAATATTATTGACTAGTGTCACCCAATAAAATCAATAAATCACAAAGAAAACTGAATAGACCTGAAACAAGTATGGAGATTGAATCAGTAATCAAAAAATCTTTCAACGAAGAAAAGCCCTGGATCTGACAACATCATTTGTGGATTCTACCAAGAATTTGAAGAAGTAATACCCATTCTTCTCAAACTTTTCTAAAAGACTGGAGGGGAGGGGAAAATACTCCCTAACTCATTCTGTGAGGCCAGCATAACCCTAATACCAATGACAAAGACACTACAAGAAAAGAAAACTATAGGTCAATATCTAATCTAGAGGTATAGATTAAGAATAAATTTTTTAGTACAGTTTATTAACAGTTAAATTTTAAAACTTAATTTTTATGAAAACTTAATTTGGAAGAATTTTACTCCTAATACATGTTCTTCTTTTTTTTTTCTGGACCACTTTATTGATATACTTCTTTTTTTTATTTTTTAAAATCTTTATTGTTGAGATTATTACAGATGTCCCTCTTTTTTCCTCCTATTGCCCCTCTCCACCCGGTTCCTGCCCTGCCCCAGGCCTTCACCACCCTATTGTCTCTGTCCAGAGGTAATGCATATATGCATATAATATCTTTGTTTAGTCTCTTCCCTTCCCTCTGATAATCGTCAGTCTGTTCCATTTCCATGCCTCTGATTCTATTTTATTCACCAGTCTATTTTGTTCATAAGATTTCTTATTCGTTTATTTTGATTTTTAGATTCAATTGTTGGTAAGTATGTATTTGTTGCCAGTTTGTTGTTCATATTTTTGATCAGTGTATGCTTAATTTCTGACTGGTCCTTTTCCTTTTTTGGAGGTTTCTAGAAGATTCTTGAGTAACCTTATAATTATAGTTTTAAACTCTATATTCAGTAGTTTGCTTTCTTCCATTTCTTTCATTTCTTTGTTCATAAGATTTCTTATTCGTTTATTTTGATTTTTAGATTCAATTGTTGGTAAGTATATATTTGTTGCCAGTTTGTTGTTCATATTTTTGATCAGTGTATGCTTAATTTCTGACTGGTCCTTTTCCATTTTTTTGGAGGTTTCTAGAAGATTCTTGAGTAACCTTATAATCGTAGTTTTAAACTCTATATCCAGTAGTTTGCTTTCTTCCATTTCTTTCATTTCTGATATGTTTCTTTGTCTCTGCATTTTGACTGCTTCCCTGTGTTTTTTTTTCTCTGTTTTGAGTAGAGCTGCTATATCTCCTTGAGTTGGTACAGTGGCCTTGTGTAGTAGGTGTTCTATAGGGCCCAGTGGCTCAGCTTCCCCAGTCACCTGAGCTGGAAGCTCTAAGTGCACCCCTTTATGGGCTGTGAGCACAGTCTTGTTGTAGTTGAGACTTGATTGCTGTTGGTGTCATTGGGAGGAATTGATCTCCATGCCAATTGGCTGTGAGGACCAGCTATGACTACAGTGGGAAAGCTGCTGTGCAGGAGACACCCCTATGGAGCAGGACTTGCTTCAGTGGGGCTTTGGTGCTCACTGAGTCTGCCCCTTGAGTGTGTCGCTTATGTATGTGTAGAGTTATTGTCTGGTATGGTCTGACACTGACCACTGGGTACACTGGCTCTTGGGTCTCCCAGGAGGTACAAAGTCAGCAACTACCTGAGGCCACCCAGCAGGAGCTACAGAGAGATCTGCAGATTCCTCCTCTTTGTATTGGGTTTGGAAGTGCCCAGATGAGGCCCAGCTATGAAGCAAGGCAGGCTGGTGCTGGTGTGGGTCTTGGGCCTTTTATTGATAGGTTTGGGGCTCCCTGACCCAGTTGCAGCTTGTTTCAGAGTTTAGCCTGAGCAAGGACAGGCCATTCATATGCAAAAGCAGCTGCACACAGCTTGGGTGGGGTTGTAAATTGGATGAGGTGGGGTCTTAGGGAGTCACCAGGTTGGAGCAAACAGAAATGACTGCCAGTCAGCCCTGTGACGGGAGGTCCCAGAATAGGAACAGTGATCCCTGCAAGCACCTTTGTCTGGGAGAAAGCTGCCCCAAGTTCCTGCCCTGATGCCAGATAATCCAGTTCCTCCTCATAGGTGTCTGTGTCCCTCAAAGCCAAGCCTTGGTGCTGCAGCTCAGAGGAAGCAGGACCTTGTAAGTTCAGTTCATAGTGCTGGCCTTTTAAGAGGAACAGCTGGGTTTCCAGCAGCCTCTGTGTCACTAAGCCCCAGTCCGCACTGGTTTTTACAGCCTGTAGTTCTTACTGCCCGTAGGGACTTCTATTCCAAGCTCTGGGACCCTAGGCTGGGTGTCTGGTGTGAGGCTGGGACCCCTTGTTTCTCCGGTGTCCTCCATAGAGATGATCTCCCTCCTCATTAAAAAAGCAGCACATGTGGGTGCCCGACCAGCCTGTTCTGCGCCTCCGCACTTCCTACTCATTTCAGTATGCGTTCTTCTTCACTTCTCTAGTTGTAGGACTTCCATTCAGCCAGCTTTCTGGCAGTTCTGGATGATGGTTGTTCTGTATTTTAGTTGTAATTTTGATGTGGTTGTGGGAGGCGGCAAGTTCAGGCATTTACCTACGCCACCATCTTCAAATCCCTAATATGTGTTCTTAATATCTATCATAGTGAAAAGTGTGGGTTTCTTTGGGAGTGATATTATTATAAATATTGTGTAGGGGTAGGGGCAAGTAGAAAGGGTGGACATATTTTTTTTTTTGAGTTCTATAAAACCATTTGTTTGAGTGTTCTTTTTAAAAGCAATGAGTATATTCCCCTTTTATTAAAACGATAGAAAATATTTTTAAAACATGTAATGACACAAACGTAAACTTTTAAAGATGTCCTCATAGTTATACTCATGTGTGCTTTTATTAATTTTGGTTCTAGGCTTGTGTGGACGTCAGATCCAGTTCGGTGTTTTGGCAGCAGCTGGAACTTGCAGATACCCTCTCTGGTCACCCCAACGTGCCAGAATGGTTATCCACACACCCTTCTCATGGAAACCGAGTTGAGCAGTTGGATAGACTCATACCCGAGGTGAGCTAACACTGTTGAAGGCAGGACACTATTTTTACTGCATCTTTAATTTTTTAATGCTGTTACTTCTCATGCTTAGAGTAGGAGTTCTAGTTTGTCAACTGTTTTGATCACTATAATTATGGATTGTCAGTTTTCAAAGGATTTGACTGAAGAGTAAAATCCTGCTTGTTCGCAAGTCATGGGGGATAAATTGCTGTGTAGACTTGACTTTTCTTGAAGGTGAAGGTTTAAGCTTTTTAGTATCATTCCTTTTAATTTTACCTGATTTGGTGAAAGTCTAAAACTCATGGTATGTTTTTTCAACATATTGGTCATAATTTAATTTTTTCTCAGTGATTTAAGCTTATTGTTAAAAAACAACAATAACAAACTCCAGTTAATGACTTGTGTAAAATTTTCGGGTCAAGTGAGTATTAATTCCAATAATGATGCTGGAATATTTCTTAGAAAAAAAATCCCTTGATATTAGTTTTTTTCTGGTTGTTTATTTCTTTAAAAAGAGGGAGTAAAGTGTGCATGACTTTTTTTCTGTAGACTTCATTAATGAATAAAGCTAAAGCAGCTTTTTCCCAATTAGTTTTTACTACCATCTAAACATGTTTTTATTTGTTAACATGATTTAAAATGTTTTCTGTGGTATCCACTTCAGTACAAGGTGGATGTCAGATATCGCCAAACCAGGCTGCACACTCTTTCTGTCTCACTTGCTTTGCCAGGATGACTACAAATTTAACTTGACAGATAGTGAGCACCTGTTATAAGAAAAAAATACTGGTAGATACAGGGGATACAAAGAGAATTAAGACATGGTTTTTTATATTTGCAGGATGCTAACATAAGTACAAAATGATTCTTAATACAATAAGGGATAGGATTTATTATAAGAAAAGTAGAAATATAGTGGTATGCAATTTGAAGGAATAGCCTGCATCTAGTTTGGGATAATAAACTACCAGGAGATTCATTTACTGATTCATGTGATTTATATGGAAATCCACTGATAGTTTGCCATTCTTTATTCTGTTGCTGGGAACAATACAGTCTCTGCTTTCTTGGAGCTAACATTCATGTCAATGCAAGTAATAAACAAACATATACATACATGCAGTATGTCAAGCAATGATAAACACATTGGGGAAAAATAAATCAGATTAAAGGTAGTAAAGAGGGCTGGGCAGCAGAGAAGACGTGCTGGTCTACGTTTCTTTGTCAGAGAAAGCCTTACCTAACAGAAGCTGGAAAGAAACAAGGGGCCAAGTCTGTGGCTATCTGGAGAGAGAGTCTTCCAGGGTGAGGAGGCAGCAAGTGCATAGGACCTGGAGGGAGAGTATGTGTGGTGTGTTCAAGGAATGGCAAGGAGTTGAGTGAGTCAAGGAGGGGGTGGGGGGATGATTGAGGTATAGGGGGATCAGATCATGAAGAGTCTTTTCTAAACCATTGTAAGGACTTAACTTTTATTCCAAGTGATATGGGAAACTAGTAGAGGGTTTTGAGTAGAGCAGTGGTTTTCAACCTTGGCTGCACATTAGAATCACCTGGGAATCTTTTTAAAATCCTGATTTCTGGGCCTCATCCTCCGGAAATTCTGTTTCTTTGTTATGGGGTGGGGCTGACTTGATCACCTGATCTGACTTATGTGTTCTGTGGTGTCATGGGGACTGTAGTGGGGCAAGGGTGGAACCCAGGAGACTCTTTACAAGGCTCTTGCAATAATCCTGTTAAGATAGTATAGAGCAGGGGTGGGCAAACTTTTTGACTCGAGGGCCACAATGGGTTCTTAAACTGGACCAGAGGGCCGGAACAAAAGCATGGATGGAGTGTTTGTGTGAACTAATATAAATTCAAAGTAAACATCATTACATAAAAGGGTACGGTCTTTTTTTTTTTTAGTTTTATTCATTTCAAACGGGCCGGATCCGGCCTGCGGGCCGTAGTTTGCCCACGGCTGGTATAGAGGCAGAAGAGAGGAAAAGAAGTGCTCAGATTTTGGATATATTTTGAAAGGAATGATGAGGATTTGAGTTTGGGCATACTTGTGGCCTTTCATGGGCATTGGGGCCAGCCAGACATGGATTCTTAAGAAATATCCTAAATATATTTCATTTATACCCTTAATTTGAAGAAAAAATATTTGAGAAAAAAAACAGCAGTGACATTTACTTGACACATTGTAGTTATCATTCATCTTAAAAGCACAGCACAGGACTGGAAGAATATGGGTTTCATCCGTAACTAATTTGTCCTGAAGATCACTGACTCAGCCTTCGTAAGTGCTGCCAAGACCCAGGGAACTTGCATCACCCGAGGAGGCGTAGCCTCTCGCGAAAGCCAAAATAACCACATGGTTTCCTTTTGGAATGCCCTTTCTTTTTATTTTGTTCAGTGAAATTCTAAAAATGTGTGGTTTACTTAAATTGGATAATGAATTTTAGCCAACTTTCATCTAAATTCTGAGTTGTCATTTCATCATCGAAGATAACTAAGGATCTTTGGAGAAGTAAAATGTGCTTTAGAGAAGTTTTAAAATAATTAATTGATTAGTGAGTATGAAGGAAAATGATTGGAGAAATAAATATGTTATTTGGGCGCCAATGATGAAGATAAGCATTGGGAGGTATTATTTTTCTAAAAATAAACTATCCTAGTTTAGAAACTTAAGTTGAAAACCTTATATATCCCCCCTCCCCAAGTGATTAAAATCAATTTGAAAGTAATAAAATTCTACTGCAATATTGGGAGTAATTCAGTGGTTGAAGTGAAACTTATAGTCAGTGTAAGAGTCTGTTGATAATTAGAATACATAGTCATAATTCAGAGATTGGAATTCCCTACTGTCGTTTCTAATTTCTCTAATGAAAGAAAGCAAATCCTCAGGCAGTATGTAGAATTATGTGAGTCTATATACTACTAAAGACTACGTTTTTTGTTTGATTTTATTTAAGATTTTTTTCTACTTATGTTAATACAATATATTTTACCTAATGCTCCTGTTCTTTGACAATTCTGATATTATGCCTGAAGTGGCGTACGTCTCAAAGGCAGTTGGAAATACACAGCAGAGCACAGACATCTAGGCCAGAGATGAGGACTTGAGAGTAACTCCATAAAGGTGGTATTTGAAGCGGTGAGAGTGGAGTAGGCAGAGAAAAAGATCCTGGGTAGAGTTAACAGTGTTAGGTGGTGTCCATATTTAATTGGGAGGAGGAAGACAGAGCCTCTCGTATATCCGATTCATAGGAGGAGAAAAGATCAAGACAATCAGGAAAAGAAGTCATATGTGATACTTTAAACAATAAAGAATTTAAATTAAAAAAAAGAAAGAAAGAAGATAATGTAAAGAAACACCACAAGACCGGAAAAAAAAGAAAATCAGGAAAGTAAAATTCTTTGGTTCCATGAGAACACAATCTTGGTAATTTTGATTTCTTTAAAAGGTAACTTAGTGAAGATTGTATATTTTTATTTCTTATTGGATTCCTTGAATAAATATCATCACAGAAATGTATTATTTTTTTACTAGGCATATCAACATTTAAGATGTTTTAAAACTATACTTTATTCACTTAACAAATATTTGTTAGTAATCATTTATGTGCCAGATTGTAGGTGTTGTAGGTGCTGTGAACAAAAGAGACAGAAAAAAAACCCTTGACCTTATGAAGCTTATTTTGCAGTAAAGAGAGACAGACAATAAATAGAATAAATTAGTAACGTATAGAATAAATCACCAATATATTATTTATATATTAGTCATTAATAAGTATTAGGGAGCAAAGCAAAGGAGGAAGGACAGTGTATTAGTCAGCTTGGGTTAAGCAACAGGAATTCATTTCTTCAGAGTTCTGAAGGCTAGATATCCAATCCAGTATTAAGGTTCCAGCCTTTTGATTTCTGGCGAGGTCTCTTCTGGCTGCAGACGGCTGGCTTCCCACTGTGTCCTTACATGGTGGAGAGAGTGAACACGCCGTGTCTCTTCCTCTTCTTATAAGGGCAGTAATCCTATCATGAGAGCCCCACCTCATCACCTCCTCTAACCCTGATCATCCCCCAAAGGCTCCACCTCCAAATACATTGGGGGTTAGGGTTTTAACATATGAATCTGGGGTGAGGGGGGGTGAAATACTTCAGTCCATAACAAGGATGTAAAGTGTGAGCAGAGATGGCAGAAGGGCTGGAATAGCTGTTTGAAAGGGAGTTGATCAGAGAAAGTTTCACTGAGAAGATGTTACTTGAACAAAGGCTTGAAATAAGTGAAAGAGTCTTTGCCTGGGACTTGAGGGGCGTGGGGTGGGGTAAGAACCTTCTAGGTTAGGAAATAGCCAGTACAGTGCTCTGAGGCAGGAGTGAGCCTGGTGTGGTTGGGATGGAGTGAGCAAGGGAAAGTGAGGGTGCAGGCCTTGAAGCCCCTGTGAGGACTTCGCTTTTGTTCAGAGATAGGACCCCAGGGGCGGGTTTCAGTAGAGGACTGAAGGAGTACCAGGATCTGACCTACAAAGGATGCGTCTATAGTTCCTACAAAATACTATAATCGTAATTTTGGAGTATTTTAGTATAGAATAATGTTTAGAAACAGACTAGTTCCGTTTTAAAAAAAATATTTTTATTGATTTCAGAGAGGAAGGGAGAGGGAGAAAGAGAGAGAAACATCAGTGATGAGAGAGAATCATTGATTGGCTGCCTCCTGCATGCCCCCTACTGGGGATCGAGCCCACAACCCGGGCATGTGCCCTGACCGGAAATCAAACACTGACCTCCTGGTTCATAGGTCGACACTCAACCACTGAGCCCATGCCAGCTGGGCTAGACTAATTCCCTTTTTTGTTTTGTTTTCAAATCAAGAAAATGTCCCCAAAGTAGAAAACAGTATATTCCTGCTATTTTTTTAATGTGAATTCTGAGATAAAGCATGTGTAAAAGCCTAGTTAAATATAATCCTGTGATCCACTAGCGTTTAAAAAGAATAAATATAGGGTTGTAGTAATGATTTTATTTGTAGT